TATGGGCCTCGCTGCACTACTCTGGAAATCTGCAAAACGAGAGTGAATCTTGCGTTAGAATATGGAAAGATACACCGCCAATATTTTTGTCTTTTGTGCATGTTGAGAGTAGTGCAGCGAGCCCGTTGGTGAACATTACCGTTGAGGTTCTGACAGGTTGGACGCACCGGGCTTCACTCGTGCAAAGAGCTGTTCTTCCGTTACGTTTTTTTCCTTTCATTAAAAAAAAAAAAATCCAGGAAAAACGGCTGCCAGTTCTGTCGTTTTCTACTTCAGAAGTAATACGAAGAGAACGTTTTGAGAGATCGTGACCCTCATCATGACTGAATCTGACCTGCAAGAACCCTACCATACAGACTCCAAGTACCGTTGAGGTTCTGACAGGTTGGACGTGCCGGGCTTCACTCGTGCAAAGAAATTCTGATGTTCTTCCTTAAAAAAAAAAAATCAGTTCCGGGGCCCCGCCCGGCCTCAAATTGTTTTTTTTTTTTTGTTTTGTTACTTGACGCGACATCCCACTTGAGCCTACAACACCCCTCCCCAACTTTTTTTTTTTTTGGCCGACCCCTTATTTTCGGGGTGCGCTGCACCCCGTGCGCGGTGCGGCGCACGTGCGGGATGCCGCGCACCTCGATGGGCCGCAAGTATGGAATAAATCATATATGTTAATTATTTATTGTCATTTTTTGACTCATTTATAGTACTTTATACGTTTTTAAACGGTTTTTTGGGTTGTTTATTTTTTTCATTTCATCTCATTTGTACATTCCTGTTTTTTCTGACATTATCGTTGCTTGCCTTTTTTTTTTTTGTTGTATCAACGTTTCTGATATTTACTATCCACATTGCGCATTCCTGGATTTTGAACCTGTCTGGCTGACAATTTTTTGCAGATGGGAAAGATGAAGGCGCTAGCCGAGAAGAAGGTCAAGGAGGAGAAGCGTGCATTGACGGAGGAGGTAATTTATTAATGTTTTGACAGTTTTGGTGTGTTACAATTTCACAATTTTATAGTTGGTCTATTTTTGTATGTTTTCTGGGAAGACACGAAGAGGGAGGGAGGGGTGAGGGGAACCCATAAACCCCAGGACACTGAAATTCCACCTTGCATTTATAAAGTTGAGGAGAAGCACTTGTTACATTACATAGGAGGTAAATTTATGTCTATTATATTGATGAGTCGGTGAAACTCCGACGAAACAGTTTGTCACAGCCCCTCGTTTGTTGTCCTCTTCTCCCTCTGCCTACGGTTTACCGGGCAGTTCTATTTGACGATATATATATGTGACGATATATATATATCTATCATATATATATGGTAACCGGCGTTCGGGACGGGCCGAACACCCGAACCCGAACGCCCGAACGTATGGGACCCCTTGGGGATGCGCTCGGCCGTTCGGGCCGAACGCGGACCCAAAAAAAAAAAAAAAAAAAAA